ACTGTAATTTTATACATTTCTTGTGAAAGAAACATTTCTTATTCAACGGCGATAAAAATTATTTATATTAATGATGTCTCCAAAGTTCAGCGAAGTTTTCGCAGAAAAATAACATCAGAAATCGCGGCCGCCGTTTGCTGAGCTGTTCCGCGACGAAAACAAGCTTGAGCAACGGCGATGTCGAATGGTGCACACTCGGTAAGTAATCCTACTATTTTTTATTTATAGCGCAGTTTATACGGATTATTTCCAAAAAAATATACGTATTTTGGAAATGTTGAGTTGTATTAGTCTAGAATCGATTAATTTTATGGAAGAAAACTTTTCAAACAGCCGTAGTCGGTAAACTGCACACGTGTCGGGCTGTGATTGGCTGTGATTTCTACAAAATCGGATTCATAAAGAACGGAACGTATCTACCGTCTTATAGGGTGGTCTACTGTATATAATTGTTATCCCAAATACAGCATATTTGGAATCATTTCTTTATGTTTATTTATTTTCAACCTGTTTTCTGACGATGGAAAAAATAACTAATAATAAAGAACGAAATAAATTGTTTTCTATTTAATTGATTTTAAATTTACTCTCTGTTATAAACTACAAGGCCGTATGCATAGGGCAATCGTACGAATAATATACACAGTATAAAGTATTGATATTTATGTTACTAGTTATATTACATTTATTCAAGTTTATTTTAGCATTCCTTTTTTTACCTTTTCGTAAAGCTTTTCTAGGATCAACTATTCATATCCGAACTACGGGATATGGTACAAGTATATTTAAATATACAGCAGAAATCATTAAAAGATTACAAAATTATACTGATAAAAAAAAGAAATTAATAGTAATGGAGCTTTAAGAATAAATTGTATAAAAACCTTTTATTACACTAAACGACATAAGTACAAATGTACGCTTTTAACGATTCATACCATATCTGGTCGTCTACTAAATGATGAGATTTTCAGCTCGTTGAACATTGTAATATATTTAAAATTAATATTTCATATTTTTACAGCTAAACATTCGTATATAAACAGTTTTCGAAAAAGTGCGAAAAATGATGGGGCAAGAACCCGGAAATAATATCAAAACAAAGGCAAATGTTTCAAAAATCGGGTACATCGATTCTTGTGCATTTCATTTTCTGTTTGCAATTGAATTTGTTGAAATGCTTTCAGTCATTTATTATTGTAATAATTAATGTTTTAAATCGCTTTTGGCTCTATTTAGCCCATAAAGCTCTATTATAAAAATTATATATCATATTTTTGTATAACCTATCGTGGCTTGTTTTATTAAAAATCTTTTCGCTAAGATCACTTCTTTTATTAAGACCATTATGAGTTCAGCCATATGGCCGTACTATAATGGGCTTACTAAAATCTACTGGGCTTGACATATCTAAAAGGACCACCGCCGAAAATTCCTTTTTCGACACATTCGGTTTCGATGCCGAGTTCCCAGAGCCGTAGACCAATCTTGACGTTCGATTTTCCGGCTGACTCATATTCGTAGCTATGTGTAAATACGCAATACAGCTAAATTCATACTTTATTTCACTTGTAAGTGGAATTCGTAATTTCATAATTTAAAAAAAAGCAGATTTCATTTATGTTTTTTACTTCATAGAATTCTTAAGTCAGATTGGTATAATATATTTTTTAAAAATCTCTCATGTTAAATAAAATAATTCGTTAAACGCACTTTTGCATCTTTTTCTTTCTTTATCCTTGCCTTTTCACATTTTTATATGGGATCGGCGTTTCCTTCTCTGATACTTTTTTTTTCCATTTTTCCTTGTCGAGGCCTTCTTCTTTCTTAAGTCTTCTCTGGTTCACGTGTTGTTCCACTTTATTATTCCGTCTTGGTCTTCCTCTTTTCCTGTTTCCTTTTACTACCAGTTTTTCGATGTACTTTTGAACATAATTGTTACTTCATAATTGTTACGTCGCCAAACCTTTTCGCCATACATTCTTGCATCGATTTGCTCAAGGAGCACACCTTAACAGATACTCTAATAAAATCATTCCTAATTTTCTTCTTCTTTGACACTCCACACATCCATTTAAATATTCTCATCTCTGCCACCTCCATCTTTCTTTCTTAGGCTCTTGTTATCGCCCATGTCTCAGCTTCATATAACATTGCAAATCTAACAACTAATTTATACAATTTTCCTTTCAGATTGCAGCTTACTTTCTTGTTGCATAACACACCGCCCAGCTTTCTCCACTCCATTCATCCACATTGAATTATATGTTGCATCTATGAGTTCAATCCTCCTTCCATCTCGACAAATGTTCCAAGATATTTTAAATTCAGAACCAAAGGTAGCGGCACATTTTGGATTTTAATATTACACACGTCACTACCATGTAGAGTCATATAAGCTGTTTTAGTTTTGATAATCTTCATGCTTCTATCTTAAAAAACTTTCTTCCAGACTTCCAGTTTCTCCTCAGCCTTGGTTTGAGAATGTTCATGCAACTCAATATTATCAGTAAACAGCATACTCTACAGAGCCTCACAGTTTATGTCATACACTATCACGTCCATTATAAAATTAAACAAATGAAGGCTAAGTGCAGTTCTCTGATGTAAACCAACATTAAAGAAGAACCCTTCTGTAGTACCGAAACTACTCTCAATTTGGGTCTATGCTCCTTCCTACATTTCCTTGATGAGACTAACGTATTTTTCTAGAATATTCTTTTCCCTTAAAACATAATATCCCTTTTCTAGATCTATAAACACCATGGGGAAATCTTGCTGCATTTTCCTGTGCCTTTAAATCTGCTTTTTCAGAGCAAAGATAGCAGATACATTCAGTCGTACTTTTTCCGCCAAAAAGCCAAACAGTTCCTCTTTAATCTCAGATCCCTGACTCATCCATCTTTGTATAATTTTCTCCCAAATCGTCATAGTATGGTACAACAACTTTATACCTCTGTAATTTCCACCATTCTGTACATCCACTTTACTTTTAAAAGTCTGCACCAGAATGCTCTTCATCCAATCATCTGGGATTTCTTGCTGCTGCCAGAGTTTCTCCATAAGGTCTGAGAAAATACTAATTCCCTCCTTAGCCGAACCTCTCCAAGCCTCAACTGAAGTCCGATCTGTTCCTACTGCTTTCCCCATCTTTATTTTCCTAACCACACTTTTCACTTCTTCTCTGCTAATATCTTGCATTACTTATTCATTTGCATCTTTATTCACATACAATGTTCCGGGATTTTCTTTATTCAATAAATTCCTAAAATATTCTTTCCATATTTCATAGACTTTTAATTTTTTACAATACTCACCACCTGTTTAGTCATTTTATTTGATAAATAGTAAGTTTCTTTATCTTCCAAAGTTCGCATCAAATCCCACCTTTTCCTTTCGTTTAACTGCGTCTTATATTTCAGCAGCTCACCACCAAAGTTCAATATCTTCTGGCGATCTCTTCCCTGAAGTTTTTCTTAAAACTTTTTTTCCAACTTTCAAAATTCAATTGCTACTCTGCAACCACAATATTTGCACATCATCCGGAAACTGGATTTTTTAAACTCTTTTATTTTAGACTCTTTAATTCATTCCTCATCTTTCAATCTTCCTGATTTCTTCAATCTCATCTGGCTAACACAAAACTTTATAGTAAACTCACTTCCGTATATTTTATATAATTATTAAAAATTCAACGTTTACAAGTGAGAAAGTATCATAAAATGCCTCTTTGATGTAGCGAAATAATAATATGAAAGAACATGCAAATGATATTGAAATTTATTAATGTTTACAAATACATATACATGCAATCGATAAAAAATTAAAATATGCCGTAAAAGTAATTGCTCGTCCATTAGCATAATTACTGTTTAATTTCCATTAAGTTTCTGAAATCAATATTCATATAACTTAGGCAGAAAGACTAAAATTAAAAATATTATAGTTTCAATTAGTCTGTGCACGTGTAGAATTTCTGATTATTCATTATGTAAGATCATTTCTGCTGCAATAATGACGCATTGCAGTAACAGTTAAAGTTACCATTTTTTCAATCTCGATGATGGAGCCATTTTAATACGTTTACAAGTAGTGTATTTGTGTTGAAGATAATAAATAATAAACGTAGTTACGGATATACGTAATTGGAATATAAACTGCGTACATTTTTAGAAAGAGAATTAAACGCCATTCTTATACTTTATTAGTAATTCCTAATCTACAACATGGTTTGTATAGCTTATTTGTTGGCTCCGTATATGGACTCTGTTGCAGCATTTGGATTGTTCATCATAAAACCGTGTTCATGTATATCGAATGACTCTGATCAGAAGGGACAGATTGCATCTTCTCTTTTGTTTCGAATGTACACGCATTTCGTAGAGTTCATTCTCTGGTTGATCAACATTCTGTTCTTGATTAGATTAATTGATGGCAACCTTTATGGTTTACGAGTTAACAACATGTACAAGGAAGATGCTTTGAAAGAGTCAATAGTAAATGCATTAATATCGAGTTATCTCTCGATCCAATACAGCATTCTCAAGAGGAAACAAATGTATGTCCATTCTGTGTTAAGTACTTACAAAGGAGAAGAAAAAGAGTTTGACAAAATTGAAAAATATTTGGTTGTAGTATTGCAATCGGTGTTTATCGCAGCCATAATAACAACAGTTCTGGCAGAAATAGTATTATACACGGAAATAAAAAAACAGAATGGAACAGATACCGAAGCGTTCCTAGTTGCTGTTCTACATGCTTTGCATTATCTGTACACTATTGGTCATCTTGTGGGAGTCTCTCTTGGAGTGCAATTAATGCTGTATATTGTACACAAAAGATTGGTTAAAATGTCTGAAGAAATAGCCGAGTTAAATATGAAACAACGATTCTTGCGACAGAAATTGGACAGTATTATCCGAAAACAGGTTGAAGTTTGGCAATTTATTAACACATTCAATGAAGATATGAGCGAGTGGCTTTGTCTTAATTACACCACTTACCTGTATTTATGCTGCTTATTTTTGTACGAAGCATTGTTTGTTGAAATGGAATTTGTAATGAAAATGAGTACGGCAATTCTTTCGTGGGTATTTACCTCTGAAGTTATTGTAATGAGTTGGAGTCTATCTGTCTTTGCTGCATCAGTAAGTGAATGTTCTATGTAATGTAAGAGAGTTAGCTTAAACGTTTTAATATGTGTAGTTTAAAACATACAGTGGTACCTCAGGTTACGAACGCCCCAGCATACGAAATTTTCAGGATACGACATGAAATTCGAACATATTTTTGCTCCACGATACGAACAAAAACTCACCATACGACGTTACATTAGTTCGCATTTTTCATTTGTTTTTCTTACTACTGTTATTTTTTTTAATGTATTACTTGGCTTTAATTTGAGTATGTTTTTCGCGTTGGAACGAATTATTTGGTTTTACATGTAATCGTATGGGAAAAGATGATCCACCTTACGACATTTTCATGATACGATCTCAGTTTCGGAACGGATTAATTTCGTATCCTGAGGTACCACTGTATATAACATTTGAAAATTTTGTTTTAACGAATTTTAGATAACTAACTCAGATAACTTTTAGATAACTAACTCAATGTAGCAACACATGTCTAATTCTTTTTAACAATTTGATGCTATTAGGTATTTAGTACTTCAATTTCTGTAATGCATGTATGACACAAAGTTATATTTATCACGATACACGTATGTTGCTCTTAACTCTCGTTTTAAATTTTACACACAAAATTAAAATTAATTTAATTGTATTTATGGGATATAGATTTTAATGTACTACATTGCAATTTCAGCAGTATCAATTGTCTATAAGTACATGCTTGCAATTCAGTTTTAAGTGTAATATATTTAAATATATAATATTACTTGTTCTGACTGACTGACTGGGTAACAGATTCAACATTGCCCAGAGCAAACCGCTGAACCTAAAGAAACAAAATTTGGTACACAGTTAGGATACGTCATGAAAACACATACTAAGAAAGGAGTTTTCGAATTTCCTCCGCGGGGAAAAGGATAGCATTATCGCTTAACCTAAAGAATGGCTTTTACTGTACTATTACAAATGCGATTTTTTGTTTTCAATCACACTTAGTTTTCATTGAGTACCTAGACGTATTAAATTGATAAGATTTCAGACATTGTTATAAATATTTTTATATATTTCGATTTTTAACCAAATTTTCGAACCGTTTTAAACTCGAATTTGTTATTGCATATTGGTTCGATTATATAATAATTGTAAACGTTCCAGAAAATTGATCAAATTGAAAATAGTTCGTTTGATTCTCAGTAAGTACTTAGGTGTATTAATTAATTAAATTGATAATATTTCAGACATTGTTATAAATATTTTTATACATTTCGATTTTTTAACAAAATGTTCGAACCGTTTTAAACTCGAATTTGTTAATGCATATTGGTTCGATTATATAATAATTGTAAACGTTCCAGAAAATTGATCAAATTGAAAATAGTTCGTTTGATTCTCAACAATTCTCGTCATTCTCAGCGGTAGGTGTTATATAACAATTACAGTAGAACCTCGATTATCCGGACTAATTGGGGATGAAGGTAGTCCGGATAAGGAAAAATCCGGATAATCGAAACAAATACTTTAATTCGTCTTTTGATGATAATACAACACGTTTTCTTTTGGATGACATATCGGCAATATTAAAAGTAAATACTGTATTTAAATGGTGATCAAACTTTCAAGAAACAAACGTTCATATTGAATTTGGACTACTACCGACCAACGCTAACAGACTACTTATTGTTTAAAAGGCCCTCTGGTGGCGCAAGAAGACGGATTTTATAAAATAAAAAGCAGTTGANGAATTCGATAAACTTTTGATTTTTTTGTTTTCGAATAATTAATTATTTAATTTTAGATGTACGACAACTTCGTGTCCATTGAGAGAATTTCACCAGCGGATCTACCGTTGACTTTCAAGATTAAGGTATTTTTTTTACACTTTTAATTTTCTTGTGAATTCTTTTGTGCAGAATGCACAAAAGAATGCATAATTCAAAATTATATTGTTAGTTTTTGCTGTGATAAATGTTGATAAATAATATCGATTTTGTAAAATGTCAATTCCTAACCAAACACCCCAATCTTTATTTATTATTTAATGGTTAAATAAAGTTGATATCATATTCATAAATTCATATTATAATTAAACAGTAATCTTTTGCAGATGACTTCGTTTGTGAAGAGATTTACGAAGTTTCCTTTGGGATTATCAATCGGAGGGTTTTTCTACGTGAAAGAAAACTTTGTCATAAAGGTAAATGTTATACTATATTTATTCTTAAGTAATCGTTAATACGGCAGAGCTTTATTTATTTCAGGTAATAGAAACGTTATATTCAATATTTTCAACACTAATACAAGTAACTGGTGTTATGAAACAGGAAAAACGCTGTGTTGTAAAGTCTGTCTCTAATTCTTCGTCAATTGATTAGTGCATAATAGCAGATAAGCTTTTATGCACTGTTCGTGTCATTCGTTATAATCATAAGTTAAAATTTACTTTTAACGTAGAACATGATTAAAAATATAAATACTAACGCATTGATTTAAGAGTCGCAGTATTCAATTACATACAAGAAAATGACGCGTATTTGTTTCAGTTTATTTATTTATTTATTTAATTTTTGCTTATTTCTTCGCTACTTGTTTCTTATGTCCTTAGTGGTTATATACGTAATGTTTAGCAATGTAATTAGTGAGGAATTGGGGCTAATAGTAGCAGTTTCTAAGTTGTTATAAAAAAAAAACTCGAATCAGTTTTAACACGTTGCTTCTTGCACTAAGTGGTTGCAAATGAATATCTCACAGCTGACTATATTTGTAAACAATGTTATTTTTCATCTAGACACAAATAAACTTGCAAAAAATTCAGAACACATCGATAAAAACAAAAATATATATTTCAGTATATTAGAAAAAAGAAAATAAAATATCTATTATATTTCCTTTTTTTTCTAACTCAGTATTTCACATGAAAACTAATCAGATAAATAAAGTTGTGTCAATGATAATAGAATAAATAAGATCAAACGTATTATTTGTGAAGGTGAATGTATTTATATTTTTTTTATTTCGTTAAATATTAAGAAAAGTTTATCTAGTATTAGGTATAGCGAATTTATATGAACA